AGAACAATGGCTGAACCACATGAACAACACCAACAACAACAACAACAACAAGTGGATGTTCTGCCAAATCAAGAACAAATTATACACATTTTGCATGAGATTACTCCTATTCTCACTGAACCGGTAGTAGGCTTACGGGAACATGATGTCAATGGTCAGGGAAATCAATGGATCAATTTGGAAGTAGTAGGGGAGCAACGGTTGGCAATCGCTGGAAATAGTTATCCACTAAATATCGTTCGTCGTGGCGCAACCAGATTCGTACAATTAGGCAACACTTGCAAAGTTCGGGGCCGATCTGTCGATTACGACAATGACGATCAACAAGAGTGGTTTCCGATTGAGATAAATTTAAAACATAATGACTATTTTCCTCATTTTTCGTATGGTATACACAGCTTCACTGGACCACAGGCTCAGTTGGAGATCAATGAAGACGATCTGTATCTATATATCATAGACGAGCCGACAGCTGTAGAACTACGAAACCAATGTGTAAGTCATGGCAATCAAAAGTCATTGATCTATAGGTTAGTTTTGTGTGCCCATAGAATAGCAATATTGGCTTTTCGTTTATACCAATGGTGTGATGGCAACGATGTCGACAATGAAGATGTCAATAGTTTCAGACGACGTGTCTATAGATTGGGAAATCAATTCATAGTACAAATTCGTAGAGCTATTCAATCAGACATAATCTACAAGATTTCAATCGTTCAAAGAGAAGCCATGAATTATTTGCCGATAAATAATCCTTTGGATCCATTCAGGCAACCGCTTCTTCCCGAAGATGTCGATCAGGCACCGGATATCGACATTCAGAATGTCCAACAATTGATGGACAGAATCAATGAGTATATCGAAAGAGTAAACGCTAGTCAACTGTTTACCCGAAACTGGGAACAGACTTTCAACGAGATGGCCAGTCAACAGACATCGTTGCTCATAGAAGACCTAGTTGTGGGTCCAAATGTTAATCAGATGATCCGTCTGACAAATCAACAGGAATTCAATGTATTTTGTCAGAGATATTACGGTACATATCCTGAAATTAGGTTTTTAATCCGATCGGAAGCGTTTGCCGACATACACAAACAAGAATACTATTTAGTAGAGGTTCCCGGTTGGCAGTCATATGTTGTCGAACGACAATTACGATTCCCGCTACACAGTCACGGTCTGGCCGGCAGTTATTACGACGATCCCATCCATTCCGGTAACAATGGATTTCAAGTAATGACACTCAGCTTTCCAGATACAGATGGACTCAGAGATCAGAGATTGTATTTTGTCAACCGCGCTATGGCTATGGAATTGAGAGGCCTGTTTGAAATAGATCAAGTGGTTCAACAATACCATCAATGGTTTATTGCATTCACTCAACTTTCACGCGAGCTCTGCGATCTGCGCCTATGGTATCGTMTGGCCGGTCATTTAGCAGCCGAACCACAATTGCTGCCAAACATTCAGGATTGCTTCCAACGATTGTTTGCAATACCCGCACCACTGTTCAGAAATTATCAGATTATCCATCGTCTCGAACAGGTATGGAATTTCAGTTTACTCGTTCCCAATGCTCAACAACAGGAACACAAGCTTCAACTAATTAAATCAAGAATTACTATTTACAAGAGTGAATCAGATAAAGAACGGGTATCAAAAAACACAGAACCAGGAACTTCGGGACTTCCAGAGACGGAAACGTCGGGACAGTCGGGATCCAAGAAAAAACTACGRACATACTAACAGTACAGTCAGTCGTTTTCTAGTAATGATTCAATCAATTGAAAAGTAATAAAAAACAAAAAAAAAWTACAAAAATGTTTTAATGTATAAACTAAACCCAATCATTAGGTCAAAAATATTATACAATATTTTAATAACAGCTTTATATACCGGTATACATATATATATATATACTTAAAAAAATCACTTAATTTATAGTAATTTGTTAAAAATTCAATAACATTTATGGCTCTCTTGTGGAAAGTAAATCATTTACTATCTTCTTATACAATAATATAATATAAATATATAATTTTTACAATATTTTTATACCTTAAAACTGTTGTTATATTTTATGTTTTATAATTTTTAATTACTTTTCAATTGATTGATTCATTACTAATAGTATGACTGACAGTCCAATTACTTTGTTCGTTGTTTTTTGTCGTTCACGACTGTCCCGACTGTCCCGACTTTCCCGAAGTTCATGGTTCTGTGTTTTTTGATATACGTTTTTGACTAATTCAAAATTGTAAATAGCAATTTAAGCAAAAAATATTTTAAACATTTGATAAAAACTTTAACTACTGTATAATACAATATTTTCAGTTATATTAAAAGTTTTATTTTCAATAGACTAATAGAATTTTTTTTTTTTTTTTTTGAAAAATTGACTGTTAAACAAATTTTGGAATAAATGTAGATTATAGACAGCCAGTAGAAAATTTCACATAAAATTTGTCCCCAAACCAACCTCCACCCACCCAACCACTTCCTAACCTCACACCCACCACAAACTATCCTAACTAAATAATAAAACTAACATTTTATTTGTGTATAATTGCATAAAAACTATAATTTTCTACTGGCTGTCTATAATATACATTTAAGCCCAAATTTTTATTTAAATAATTATCAATAATCAATTGTAAATTTATAATTTAAAAAAAAATAAAATATTAAAAAATAAATGAAATGAACACAAATTAGAATTCAAATAAAACTACAAGAGCTCATCACAAACACCTGACCATTACATTCATTGACCACAAGAATATCATTTGGGAATACAATGGCTGAACCACATCAACAACAACAACAACAACAAGTGAATGTTCTGCCAAATCAACAACAAATTATACACATTTTGCATGAGATTACTCCTATTCTCACTGAACCGGTAGTAGGCGTTCGGGAACATGATGTCAATGACGAGGGACATCCCTGGATCAATATGGCAGAAGCTACAGACCAACATTTGTCAATAGCTGGAAATAGTTATCTAATTAATGTCATACATAATGTTGGTACGAGAACCGTCAGATTAGGAGACAATTGTAGAATCCGCGGCCGACGTGTCGATTACGATAATAACGGTCAACGACAGTGGCATCCGGTTGAGGGCACTTACGATGAATTTAATATTTATGCGCACTTCTCGTACGGTATACACAGCTTCACTGGACCACAGGCTCAGCTGGAGATCAATGAAAACGATCAGTATTTGTATATCATAGACGAGCCGACAGCAGTTGAACTACGCAACCAATGTGTAAATCATGGAAATCAAAAGTCATTGATCTATAGGTTTGTTTTGTGTGCCCATAGAATAGCAATATTGGCTTTTCGTTTATACCAATGGTGTGATGGCAACGATGTCAACGACGAAGATGTCAACAATTTCAGACGACGTGTCTATAGATTGGGAAATCAATTTATTGTACAAATTCAAAGAGTTATGCAATCATACAAACTCTACAAGATTTCAATCGTTCAAAGAAATTCAATGAATTATTTGCCGCTAATTAATCCTTTGGATCCATTAAGACAACCGCTTCTTCCCGAAGATATCGAACAGGCACCGGATGTTGACATTCAGAATGTCCAACAATTGATGGACAGAATCAATGAGTATATCGATAGAGTCAACGCTAGTGAACTGTTTACCCGAGACTGGGGACAGACTTTCAACGATATGGCCAGTCAACAGACATCGATGCCCATAAGAGACTTAGTGGTGGGCCAAGTGATCAATCAGATGATACGTTTGACAAATCAACCAGAATTTAATGTATCATATTTGCTATATCATGGTATATACAATCAAATTAGGTTTACAGTACGTTCGGAAGCGTTTACCGACACACCTCAACGGGAATACAATTTAGTAGAGGTTCCCGGTTGGCAATCATTGGTCGTCGAGCGACGATCACGCTATCCGATACACAGTCACGGTTTGGCCGGCAGCTATTACAACAATAACATTCAAAGTGGTAACAATGGATTTCAAGTAATGACACTCAACTTTCCCGATGTTGTTGGACTCAATGAGCGGCGATTGTATTTTGTGAACCGCGCGATGGCTATGGAATTGAGACGTTTGTTTGAATTGGATCAAGTGATTGAACAATATCATCAATGGTTTATTGAATTCACTCAACGTTCCCGTGAGCTCTGCGATCTGCGCCTATGGTATCGTCTGGCCGGTCATATAGGAGCCGAACCCCATTGGCTACCAAACATTCAGGATTGCTTCCAACGACTGTTTGCAATACCCGCACCATTGTTCAGAAATTATCAGATTATCCATCGTCTCGAACAGGTATGGAATTTCAGTTTACTCGTATCCAATGAACAACAAAAGGAACGGAAGGTCCAACTGATAAAGACAACAACCAATGTTTACAAGTCTGAAATGTTTAAAAAATTGGTATCAAAAAAGTCGGGACAGTCGGGACAGTTGCCAACATCGAAAAGATTACGAACAAAGTAATGAATTGGAAAACACTACTAACAATACAGTCAGTCGTTTGTAGTAATTGTAGTAATCAATTGAAAAGTAATTTTTTGAAAAAAAATAGAAATATTGAAATATAACTTTAAGTTTTATATGTAATTATTGATTATTAAGTAAATATTGTAAAAATTTATTTATCACACTATATTTATATATCTGTATCACTATTATAAGGACACTGTAAGTGTCTTACTATCCACCAGAAAGTTGGCCAAAAAGCGCCGTAAATTGGCCGCACAGTTGTTGAAAAAATTCAATATAAATTTTCAGTACTTACTGTATATAAATATATATTGTAGGGTCTGTAGTTTTTATTAGTTAATAAGTTATACTATTATTTATAATAATGTATAAAATGAAAATATTTATTCAAATAATAAAGTACTGTATATTGGAAATCATCATATTTTCTGACACGATAAGCACCGGTATGTTATCTAGACATTTGCCAGACACGCATACATGACTACTGACTACATCATAAATCGAAACCACAGCGGCATAAACAGGGTTTTCGTCGACACCTACAGACACAATCTCTGCCTTTTGATGATCTTTGTTGTCGAGTTTGTCCACTCGTTGACGAAAACTGTGTTCCCAGCGAACTCATCGATTGTGTCCGCGAATGAGTACCTTCTAGTGATTCTTCTGGTATATCATCCAACAAATCCGTCGGATTGGTTTCAGTTGTTGATGTTTGACTGTGTCTACGATTTCTACTGAAAAGTTTTTTGGTTCGCGAACCGAAACGTGATAGCCGTTGACCTAAACTTTTGCGACGGCTAGCGTCGGTATCACTGGTCGGCATCGGGAACGGCGCCCGACGAAAGGCTGCCGGTTCGCGTACGCGATGTACACTCTCTTCCGCTTCATTCGGCGCCCAATAACTATGAAGACCTGACTCCTCAAATCTGTTCATTCGATCGGATGTGGGATCAGTCCTAAAGGGATCTTCTATGGCCACATCGTCTGGAAAACGATTTGGTGGATCAGCAGGATTATACTGAAAAGCTCGTTTGCGTGTTTTTTTGCCTACTTTGTCCCACATATCCCATCCCCGCCAACCGCCCCAAAATGGATCGCCCGGTATTTGTGTGACCTGTCGGCGTTCAAGTTGTCCACGACCTTGTCCTCTAAACTCTGGATGATCGGGATCGTATATAAGTTTTGGCGGTTCCCAATACTGTCTGTTTGTTGGTATCGACTGAGTGGAAGATTCACTAATCGACGATCTCAGAGATCCTAGTGGTGGTGACCCGGGAGGTGTTCGACTTGGCGACGGCGGTGGTGACCCGGGAGGTGTTCGACTTGGCGACGGCGGTGGTGACCCAGGAGGTGTTCGACTTGGCGACGGAAACTGTGTTCCCAGCGTACGCCTCGATGTTGGTATCGGTGAACCACTGCTGCTGTATGAAAAAGGCGGGTGTGGCGGCGATGGTGTTCTTCTATTGCCAACTGAATGCAAACTGTCCGACGATGATGCTGATGACGAAGACCAACTTGAATTTTCTTGACTATCCATGGTAGACAATCCAGTTGGCAGCGATTGTGTTCTTCGACGTGTCGGACTCGGCAATGGCGAATATTGTGGTCGCATTCGCCGAGTCGTCATCGGCAGCGGTGAAAAGTAGTTTTCGGCTCCGTTGGGCAATATCGGCCGCATCACTATCGGTCGCATTGGGGCGAATGGAGTCGGCTGTGTCTTAGATGACGGCCTTTGTGTAAAGTCTGGCAAAGGATACATAGGTTTTCGCGGATCCATTTCTATCGATGCTTTGTTTGTTTTTTTTGCTGTCTGTTTTGATGTTGTTTTTATGTCTAATATGTCTTTTAATCTCTAATATCTTTAATTACTATCTGTCTATTTGTCTTAACCCTAACCTCCCAGACTGTTAACCTCCTGTTCTTAAATTGTAATTTCAAATAGATTTCAACTAACCGTTTGATTACAATCTAACTTTTGTCTTGTGTTTTCAATTTAAAATAAAAATAATTTCAAAACTATTGTTTGTGCAAAACATTAATTATTAAACTATTATAAAATTTTGAAAAAAACTAATAAATTATTTGTATATTTTTAAATAGAAATTATCATTTCATCACTAATTTTACCTACAATTTAAGGCAATCAATCAATCATTAATTATTCAATTCATATATTTTTATGATTTCGTTTTTTAAAATAATTGTAATAATAATCACAATATAAGTATAAATATTATTGAGTTTTAATTGAATTTTAAGTTAAACACCGGAATCTCTCTCTCTCTCTCTCTCTCTCTCTCCCATTATATCTACTTTTCTTAATCACTCCACTGTTCTTCATCTTCTTGTTCTTCATTCAGATCATCTGTTCTTTGTTGTTGTTGTTGTTGTTGTTCAGGAGTATTGTTTTTGATATCAAATTTGCCGCGTCTTCGTCTAAACGGTTTTCTGAAAACCGAACCCATGCGATGGAAAATCTTTCTGAAACGACCAGTTCTTGATCTGTCCGGCCACTGACCACTGGGCTCGGGAAACGGTGATTGACGCGATTCATCCGATTCGAACTCACGGCCAGCATAGTAATAGCGGTCTCGCGGCAATACGTCTGGCAATGGATACGACCGCTTACCCGATGCTTCAAACTCGTTGATCCGATCGAAAGCTGGCACTTCCGGTATCGGTTGGATGCGCTGAATAGATATGTTGGAATTGATTCTCGATCGACTTCTCGGCGTCCCGGGAATCGTTGACCGTAATGATGACGATTCAGACGGTGGATAAAGACTGCTGCCACTACTACTACCATTACTGCTGCCATAAGGACTTCTTCTACTGTACGCAGAAGAACCGGATGACGATGGCGGATATGATGACAATCCAGACATTGAATTCACTGATGTCAACGATGACGAGCTGGACGGTGGATAAAGACTGCTTCCACTACTACTACCGCTACCTATACGGCTGTACGCATAAGAATCGGGTGGCGATGGCGGATATGATGATATTGAAGTCACTGATCTCAACGATGACGAGCTGGACGATGGATACTGAGTGCTGCCACTGCCACTACTGTTGTCGTAAAGACTTGATCTATCGCTACCGATACTGCTGTACACAGAAGATTCAGATTCGGTTGGCCACTGAGGATATGATGACACTCTAGATGATGATCGAGAATTCAAACTAGACGATGGAGTCAAAGTACCGAATTTGCTTCTGTACGATCCAAAAGATTCGGTTGGCGATGGCGTCCTATTCGACCCTAACCTTTTCGACGACGACGAGAACGAGTCCCTGGAACTACTGGAACTGTCAAATCTTTGTCGCTGTGGATAATATGGTGGCACCGGTGACGGCGGATTACGGAATCGTGTGTATGGCTGTAATTCAAATGATGTCCTGATTCTCGGCCCCCACTTTTCGTTCATAGTCGAAGACATGCGACCACCACTTGATGACGATTGTCCAGACATACTACTAGTCGACATTGACTGCAATCCGGACGGCGGCCGATAGTAGTCTCCGGCTCTAGTAGTAGAAAACATAGGTTTTCGCGGATCCATTTCTATCGGTGCTTTTGTCTCCTGTCTAGTATACCCTTGTTGTGTCTGTTTTGATGTTGTTTTTTGTACTTTAATTTGTATGTCTAATGATCTTAATTTCTATCTTTAATTATTGTCTTAACCCACAGACCTTCTGGAGTTGTAATTTTTAAATTGATTTCAACTCACCGTTTGATTACATCTAACTGTTGTCCTATGTGTTTTCAATTTAAAATAAAAATAATTTCAAAACTATTGTTTGTGTAAAAATTATTAACTATTAAACTATTATAAAAAAAATTATTTTTCAAAAAAAACTATTAAATTATTTATATATTTTTAATTACAGAAATTATCATTTCATTTTATCTCAATATTTATACCTAGAATTTATAGTTAATGGTTAGTTAGTTAGTTAGTTAGTAGTGTGTAATGTGTAGGGGTGGTGTGGAGTCACTATTATGATTGATATTAGTTTTTTAGTAGTTTTAAAAACGGGTGATACAAATCCTATATTGGTTTAACACTGGTTAAACTGGTTAATCTCTTTTTTTTTAATTTTAGTGATACATTAGTGGTTAGAATTAACAACAACAACAAAAACAAATAGTATAAAATTTAAATGATTTTATTTTTTAAAAAAGATTAGTAAAAAACTTTTACCGTAAAATTATTTGTAAAGTTTTTATTATATAGATACGAACATTAATATCTTTTTATTTATATTTTTACATTCAATTAATTAATCATTAATTGAATTTATATTTTAATTATTTTATGATTGTCTGAAATGATTTTGATTTTTTTTTCTCTCTCTCTCTCTCTCATTCTCTCTTTAAATACTAAATAATAATTATAATATTTGTAATATATTAGAGATATAAATATTACAGAATTTAATTGATTTTGTTTTTACTTAAGCACCGGTATGTTTGCTATCTTTCTTTAAATTGTTTATCACTATTGATTTGCTTTACTTTTCTTCTTTACTGTTCTTCTTCTTCTTCTTCATTCAGAAAACTCAATCTTTGTTGTTGTTGTTGTTGAGTATCGCTGGTCAGATCATATGTACCTCTTCTTCGCCTAAACGGACTTCTGATAGCCGAACTCATGCGCCGAAAAGTGTTTCTGAAACCACCAGATCCTGACTGATCACTGGCAGCGGCACTGGATTCAGAAAACGGCGATCGACGCGATTCAATCGATTCGCGCTCACGACCAGCATAGTGACCGCGGTCTCGCGGCAATGCCTCTGGCAAGGGATATGACCCCCGATTGGATGATTCAAACTGATTGATCCGATCGAAAGACGACGTATCTGGTATCGGTTGAATGCGTTGAATAGATGTGTTGGGATCTCTGAATCTGAATGGCGATCGATTTCGAGTCGTAGTGGGCGTCCTGGGAGGGGTTGGCGGGAATGTTGTGTCCGATGACCAATCGTCGATATCTCTTACACTACTGGATCTGTTACCGCGTTGATAGGGTAACAATGGAGACGACGGAGGAGTATGGAATCGTATGTCTGGTTGTGATTCGTCTTCACTTGAGGTTTCGCTATCAAAATTAAGTATCGGTTCTAGTGGTGGTCTCTGATGTCTCAATTGTCGCGGCGAAAGCCGCGGTGGTGATCTGAAAGTTGATCGTCGTGGCGACGTCGGTGGTGAACCGGGAGGTGTTCGGCTTGGCGACGGTGGTGGTGACCCGGGAGGTGTTCGGCTTGGCCATGGTGGTGGTGATCCAGGAGGTGTTCGGCTTGGCCACGGTGGTGGTGAACCGGGAGGAGTTCGGCTTGGCGACGGTGGTGGTGACCCGGGAGGTGTTCGGCTTGGCCATGGTGGTGGTGATCCAGGAGGTGTTCGGCTTGGCCACGGTGGTGGTGAACCGGGAGGAGTTCGGCTTGGCGACGGTGGTGGTGACCCGGGAGGTGTTCGGCTTGGCCACGGTGGTGGTGAACCAGGAGGTGTTCGGCTTGGCGACGGTGGTGGTGAACCGGGAGGTGTTCTTCGTGGTGACGGTGGTGGTGAACCGGGAGGTGTTCTTCGTGGTGACGGAGGTGGTGACCCGGGAGGTGAAGGCCAACTTGAACTACTCGAACTGTACTTTGGAGAATCCGGGGCACCAATCAATGATCTGTTGTCGTTATCGTCTTCAGGTGTACTTTCGCTGTCAAAATCGAGTATCGGCTCCAGTAGTGGTAGAGGTCTCAGTGATCCTGGACCTGTTGGCGACCCAGGAGGTGAAGGCAATCTTGAACTGAGTGGTTCGTCACTACCCATTCTGGACAACCCAGTTGGCAGCGATTGTGTCCTCCGAAGTGTTGGCGTCGGCAATCTAGAGGATTGTGGTCTCACTCCGCCCAGCGGTCGATAGTAATATGCGGCTCCTTTGGGCAATATTGGCCGTATGACTATTGGCCGCATTGGAGCAAATGGTGTCGGCTGTCTCTCTGATACCGGTCTTCGTGTAAAGTCTGGCAATCGGTACATAGGTTTTCGCGGATCCATTTCTACACCTGTTCTTTGTCCGCTTTGTTTAACTGATTTTACTGATTGGTTGACCCTATTTGACTGTCTATTCCTAAATATGTACTAACCTTCTGTTTCTTTTGCTTGAAATTGATTTGACCTTTGATTCTGTCAAACGTTTTGGATTTTTCTGATTTTTATTGAAAATATTTTAATTTTAATTGTTATTAATAATTGATATTAAAAAATGGTAAATACTGAAATACTGTATATATTTCATAAGTATATTTACCTAAAATATAACATGAATTTTTATTTGAAAAAACTACCAGTGCTCGACAATGTAATCCTAAATACATTACACATGTAATACATCTATGTATATATCTATATCAGGTTAGAATAAATTAGTGTCAATTAGTGTCTATTCCTAAATTTATATCTTATACTGTGTACATATTAGACATAAAAGCAAAGTTAAGAAAACCTACCAGTGCTCCAAGATATGTTAGTGCAAATGTTTTTATAAAAATAAAAATTAATAAAAGCTAATATTTAAAATATATATTTATATATCTGTATTCATTACAAACCTTATCTAATGTTTAAATTCTACACTACTATACATATACTATACATTACAGTAAATTTTATACAGGTATGTAAATTATATGCTGCATATAAAAATATAAATGAAAATTGAAATTGTGCTTCAAATTGACGCACACGTCATCGATGCCAGACTAACACTTGGGTCATATCGTTGACCAAATTGTATAGTACGGACAGTATGGCTAAATAAAAAACTAACTAAATTTTCAATTTATTAAAACACTATCTAAATCTGTAAATTACTTACAGATTTGTATATACTGTATATAAATTTTTATTTATATATATTACCAACCACTACTGCTCAAGTATATATATATAGATGTAAACCAGTACAAGGGTACGGTGCTTCCTGCTGCTGGTGCTGCTGCTCAGGTATGCTTATTGTGGATATGTTAATATATAATCGACAAAATGTCGACTAGAATAGTACTCCATTTCAGGTGAGTTCATGTGCTCGATGAACAACATTGATAGATCTGTGTGCAGATACGGCCTCATATTGAGACCGACGGGCAGCTCTTGACTGGGAATATTGCGCAAATAGGCGGTCAGTTCGGCCAGTATTGGACACTCGTATCTGAGCAATGGATTAGCCATAATCATATAGGCCATTAGGTCGAACATATCGCACATGTCTTCGACATCTTTTTTCATGTCCGATCCCATTCGCCATTGTTCGTTAGGGTCGGTCACGTTCATCGGATACTGTTTGGCCATACCAAAGTCGGCCCATTTGGCTGTTACGGCCGGCTCCGATTGTGTGTCAATTGATTCGGTAACCGGTGTCGGTCGTTGGTGCCATTCGAAAAATATAAGGACATTGCGGGCACTAATATCGCCGTGAATCACATGGTTTATATGCAAGTACTTGAGTCCAGCCAATAGATCCCAGAATATTTTGCTTACAGAATAGCCGGTCAGCAAACAGTGTTCGGCATACCTGTCCAGACTACCGTATTCGGCAAAATCCATAAGCATATAGCTACGGTCATAGCTGAGCACCACTTGGCCATCGGGCATCGTATACTCTACGGACGGACCTATGTTGACTATCATACGATAGGTTAGTACGTTCTCGTGGTTCAACCGTTTCATAATCTGTTTTTCTCTTTCCATTACTAACCTGTAGGTATCGGCCAGCGGATCATTTGGATGAATATGTGTACACTTGATGGCAAACAATTGGTCGACCTTTACGTTACGTAGTCGTTGACCGCTTGACCTATCCTTTTGCTGTTCAATCTAAACAAACACACAAAAACAAAATAATTAATAATCAGTTGCATAATAATTAGGTCAATAGAGCGGGATGGGAGGGGGGATTGGGTGAACCATACATACCTCTTTGCCATACCGTCCATAAAATACTGCTCCAAACGAACCCTCACCCATATAGCTAAATGAGTGCTTACCCTTGTCGTACTCGTCGATAATAAAGCCCATTGTTTTCAATGTTCTGAAATCAGATGCCAATGCTGTCCAATCAATTGGCCATTTGTTAGGTTGCAGACCTCCCTGGCCCAATGAGTTTTGAATGCTTACTTCGGGTTCGCCGACTTCTGTTTGTGTCTGGGTTGGCGATGCCGGTGGTGGTGACCCTTCAAATACATCATCTTCCGGTTCGTAATCTTGACCGAATGTTTCGCTCAAAAAACCGGCCAAATCAAATTCATCAGCCGATGAGCCAACACTTGGTTTGATTGACATACCTGTTCTGTTGTTGTTGTTGTAGTAGTAGTTGATATTGTTTTGCACCTATAGTTTCACTGTTAACACCTGTTTCATTTGAAACTTTGTTTTATATTGTTTTGGGTATTTTTGAAAAATTTTTTTGCAAAATATCAAAATTTATAATATTATTAATTATTGTCCAAAAATGAAATTTAATATTTAAAAAAAAATATATAATTAAAATTTTTACTTATGATTGTTTTCAACAAATCAATTTTTATACTTGTAATCAAGATAACTGATTACTCTCTCTCTCTCTTTCTCTCTTTCTCTCTTTCTCTCTTTCTCTCTTTCTCTCTTTCTCTCTTTCTCTCTTTCTCTCTTTCTC